GTGCAACAAAGTCATCTCCACAAGCAAAACAAACAGGGAGTCCCACATCCCCCTGCATACAGGCTGGAGAGCTAGAGCAACAGTCTAGGATATGGCTCTATCACAACTTTTTTAAGTATACAGTCCCCCTTCACAGCAACAGCCACAACAGACAGATTTTACACAAAGAAAATGTCAAATACCCAATAATCCATACTAGGAGCATGCAATTAGCCAGAGAGAGTTTAAAGAACTGTCTTTAAACAGGAGGCGACCCTGAGGCTTAGCAATACTGGGTGAAATCCAAATGCTTATAACTGCAGTGTCACCAGACGACCTCTCTATTCTCTAATATTGTTTTACTACGCTAAACATTTTCTTAGTGTCCGGATGCCACTAGGAAAGTGTATTATGCTAAATGTGTTACTGTTATGAACAACAACCCATATGAAAACTTTGATGAAAGCATGTATTCATTCATTTGTTCATATGTATGAACCAGTGAAGCTTCCAATAACATTCACTATGAATTAATATTCACTATATTGTGTTTATGTGCAGTGTTTGTAGTGGACAAGAAACAGTGATTTAGTTTTGGTTTGACTTTTCATGATAATGATTGTGTTCTCAGGCTGAGTGGTGAGTATTTTTTTACTCTGTTTTCAGTTTGTTGAACTGAAAAAGATCTTGTTACGATATCTTCCTGTAAACACTTACAGGGTTTACAGGAAGAACCACCAAAAGGCCATTTTTTTGTAAGGGACCTTTGAGTCTATCACCATCCCTGACTGATGTCAGGGAAAGTCCCATATCCTTCTGACCATTTACTACAAATGATGCTCTTGTATTCACTTTTACTTTTGGTTTTCATTTCAGAAAGCTACATAAACCCATGCCATACAAATCTTAATCTTTGTGTTTTATTCATGAAAAAGGCCTATAAAGAAACAGAAACTTCAACTGAATTCACAAGAATTGTTTAATTTATTGCAGCCTTCGCATAAATCACCATGAAAATTAAACTAAACAGAGAAACAAGAAACTGAAAGTGTTGCCGTTCATGAGCTACAGAGAGTCCCAGCAGTGTTTGCATGACAAGAGGTGTCCCTCCACAGATAACAGCAGCTCCACTGGAAGCCACAGTTTTTCCATATGGAGATGCTGTTACAGCTGGTGAGACCCAGAGAAAAACACAGCTGAGAGCACCAAGCCAGAGCACAGCATTGGATGTACACTCGTTCTGCTGGCATCTTCTATTTAAGTGTTTTTCCTGTTGTATATTCAGTTGGCAAAACTGAATATAACCAAAACTTACCTTAAACAACTCCTCTGGGCTTTCCTATTTTTGTGTGACTACCACTACAGTCTGTATTGTTCGTACTCTTGATCAGCCAGACAAGCATTTCAGAGTACTGCAAACTGGAAGGGGGCGGCAGCATCGTGGTCCACTTTTAAATCATATGAATTAATGCTGCCCTCTTTTGGTCATCTGTTTGGTCATCTGACTACATGAACTTAAATCATTTTATTACACATGACATTTTATTACACAGCTTTCATGTCACAATACCACCCACACCCAATAAAGACTTAGTATCATCCACTATTTTATCTTCTAATCTTGGTTTTTACTGCCTCTAAGATTACATGTGTCCCTTCTGACGCCAATAAAAATCAGGCTCATTCCCTCCAAGAACACGTGCTCCTAGAAGTTAACAATGGTTGCAGTAACCCTAGTAAAAAAAAATAGATCCATTGTGCTATTTCTTTTTATATTAGGTGTTGAAAGGATCTTTAACACAAGTGGTAAACAGGAGCGAGCATCATTTTCTTGTGTGTAGCTCATCTTCTTCCCAGAATCTCACTGAATATCCTCAGTGAAATTTGACCTTTAATCCTCTCCTTCTGTAAAAAGAAGAAAAAAAACCCCTCAGAGAATCATAAAGCAATATAAGGGCAGCCTGGAGAGAACTTCACCCCACTGTCTTCTTCGACTTTGGCCGCCCTGCTATATATTGTTAACAGATAATTCCATTATGAAGGGTCATTAGCGTCTTCAGATAATGTGCACCAAGAGGCCGAGCACGGAAACGAACTCGGTCTGGACAGAGAAAGGTGACGTCAGGAAATCAAATACCACATATTAAACCAACATTTTTAATGCTGGGCAAATCCTCACGCTTATCATCTCAGAGTTAGAACCTGCAGAAACTGAAATGTATTCATACTATAATCATTTTTATCTGAACAGGTACAATATCGTCTATAACATCTTTGTAAATTACACACATGTTCGCACAGAACGTGTTTGCATTTGAAGGCACTTGAATTCATTATAAATGAATCATCTAATTTCCTTAAAAGATCCTCTGTGATCAACTGTTCTCATTTTAACATATATACAAATACATATTACAGGGTTTGTCCTGCAGTGTGCAAGTAGATTAGATGCATGGTGAAATAAACTGGTCTTGTTAATCTCTTCAGTTAGTTTGCTTTCTAGAATGTAAAAGAAAAGTTAATACTTACCAAGTAAAAGCTGCAGGCAAAGCTTCTTCAGTTATTAATTGTAAAAGGAAACACACAAGACAAGTAAAACCCAGATAAAAAAAATAACAAAATATAAGTGTGAGGGGGAAAAAAGACAAACAAATAAATAGTAAATAAGAGCGTTTTTACAAAAAAGACACCCAGCAGTGAGCGGAGTCTCTGAGTAATGGTAGGCTCGTGAATGAGGGCTGCTTAAGACTATGTGGGGGAGAGAAAAATTAATCATTACACTTACTGTAAATATGTAACAAACCCAACCTGCACATAAAAGTCAGCAAATTGCATTGTGTTTGAACACCCACGGAGACACGCAGATGAGATGAAATCATACATGCAGCAGAGCAGCCAATAAGATCATCCGACCTTCTCATCAGGCCTCCCCCACCCCTAATCATCCAGTGGACATAATTCCTCTGCTGACACATTTCACTCTCTCTCACTCACTCTTACTGGGGCGCGGTTTAATAAAATCACCTGATTAAATATCTAAATGGAAAGGACATTATGAGATTACTTTAAAGAAATGATTGATGAATAGTCAAAATCTGGGCCAACTCCATCAAGTTGTACTGTTTATTCTGGTCTTGGATATCTATAAAATCCAAATCTGGACTGGACTTTTGAAGTGACTGCAAGATGATATAGGATTTTTTTTTCAAATGATTTGTAAATTATAGACAATAATAAGACCTTATGTATCCCCCAAAACACAAACCTTCCAGATTTGAAGGAGTTTCTATTAACAGTGTTACTTTTGTGTTGTTTTGAAGATGACTTTTGAAGACAAAGAGTGTTTGCCTGAAACAAATTTGTAAAGTGCATTTGACTCAAGCTCAAAGTGAGTGATTCCTGCAAACAGTTCATTCCTGCATGTATCTTTGGTCAAAGTGTGAGAACAATAAGTGTAAATGAGTTACAAAGGGAGAGCCTCTTCGTCTTCCTCCAAGCCAGTTAGATGCATTTATAAATAGTTCTTAAATAGCACATCTAAACCAGCAACACACTCAATGTGTTTCCTGATCTCACTGACTTTGACGGGAATTCCGGTTTAACACCCTATTTCACACCAAATTATATTCTTTAAAACCATAAATAGAGGTAGTGAAGTAATTATTTAATATTCA